TTATAACACTGGAAACAGCATCGGTGGCACTATACAAAAACAAATTGATTTATAATCTCACAACCTTCACCTTTCTGACATTCTGAGACCCAAACATATTCAGCGCCTGTGCTTTGATTAAAAAGCGTCATCACAACCATCTAATTGTTGTTAAAACTTGTTCTCTAAAGTCAAACAGTATAATCTTTTGGAAATGTTTATAGAGTATATTTTCAGTATAAAGTGTCAATCATAGCAGTTGGTTGCATGAATGGTCTCTTGAGAAGCCTTCGCTTGGACAATGAATGACGTGCAACTATTGTATTTGTAGGTTAAGATACTTATTGTTTGTTAATACAAAATGACTAAAATAGACCACGGTCATAACGTGTGTAAGCAGTGATAAGAATATTCACAATTAAGACCACAACGCAATTTAGACCGCATACGAATACATACGATTGTTGTACGGTTCCAAGTACGGTCTAGTACTGTCTGATACGATTAAACACGACTTTTACTCGATTTTCTCGACTTTCACAGGGTTTACATAGCGTTCCGCCGACATTTGTTCGAGTTATGCTCGAATTATCACAAATGTTTGTATGTTTTGATATAAATTGACCCATATTGATGGCTTGGCTTCATAAATTTTCGAACTTTTAACGAAGAAACACCTATTTATGTGAATAATAGTTATATTAAACAATACCAGAAGCTACAGATTACAGGATAAGGGAATTAGAAATCATGATTAGACCGATAGACATTGTTGGGTCCATCAGTTCATCAGGCTCGGCAGGGTCAGCCGGTTGGAGTGGTCGGCAGGCCTGGATGGCCCTTCTTGTATTCCTTCTGTGCGTGGGAACTTTCTTCGTTTAATGCATTCTAGTGTGATGCAGCAAGAACTCTAGGTAGATATAGCTGATGAAGGTGGCAGAAGGTAGTTGTGATTTTCGTTGTAAAGTTCTTGCTGACGTAGAAAGACTGTACGAGGCCGTTTGAGACCGTGTATACCCGTACTATACCGTGTCTGCCATGTATGATTCGTACTTGAACCGTATTGATCGCATGGCGATCGTTTGAAGCCGTGTGTGCACTCGTGTGAATCGTACCGTGATCGTATGACTTTCGGGTGTTAATCGGGTGTTGGATGTAGGACTTGGGGACGGTCTCGAACGATTCCGTACGATTTATGTACGACCTTGACACGGTTGGGCTCAAACGTGGAGTGGACTTCAAATACGGTTGTATATACGGTCTTATTCTTGTACGGTCGCGTATATGATCATACACGGACATGACATCCGTACCAGTTTTTTTTAAAGTTTTAAAAATCATACACGGCTTACACGGATACACTCGAATGGCCCGTGTGTAACTCGGATAACGCCACGGTTGGTTCGGTTGTATGTACGGTTTACACGGGTGGCCAACCGTATAAGCCGTGTGTCTTGTGTAAGACAGGCTTAAGCGTTATACTAAAGGCGCTTCAATGAATAACAAGTAGAGATTTTGATGCTAAAGCATCAAGTCGCCGGATAGAAAATGACTGTATTATCATAAATATAAAAAAATCAGTTTAATTAATGGTTCAGGTATAAAGAAAAGAGGAACAATTTATGTTGAGTAACTGTTTATTCACAATAAAACATCATACATGAAGCAAACTTGCTTAGCAATATTGTTAAGGAACTGCTATGATTATTAAGCAAGTATTTCGTACGTTAGTTTACGTAACTTATTATGATTTATGCTAAAGATTTTATTGATAGTATATATCTCGATATTAAATTAATTAATATGTGGTAAGTATAGGACGAAGTTGTGACCTAGTAGGCCAAATTCGAATCTTTGAAAATCCCTTTTGCAGTTTTCATAAAACTATTTTTTGTGCTATCGAACAAAATAAGCTATTTAGTTGAAATCAATATTCCTGTCGTTACATACGATATAGTTAACGTTTAATTGCCTTTCAGTTCGATAAAATATTAACAAAAAGATATTTTATTAGTTTTCATTATTATGTGTCGTACCGTTTTGGTAACCTGCGGGACGGAAATCGACGGAATATAACGAAGACGACAATTACCACTATTTATTTCAATAAATGTGCCTCTTTAGCATAAATCTATTTTGTGATGTTCAACCTAAACTAAACTATTGAACATTGACAGAAAGGGAAAAATTTAACCCTTTACCAAGATAAAATGAAAAGGTTTTGAAAATTTATTTAATTCTTTAATGTACTAATCCTTTCTAATGATATAAAATATGAAACTGATTAATGAAAGATAACTTTGTAATTATTTATACATTTGCATCTAATTAGCCCCCATACCGTTTTCCAACTAGTATGTCTTATCAGCAATCTGTTACTATTAATAGATTCTATAACACTAACATACAACGTGTAGTCACGTGATTCTTACAATAGAACAGGGAGAATCTGTTTATAATTAGATAAGATAATAATAATAATAATAATAATAATATAATAATATCTTTATTTAAAGAAGGTTACACATTAAGAACATACAATAACAATCATATATATCTTATTTCCAAAGTGGCCTTCTGAAAAAGAAAACAACAACAACAACAACAACAACAGGACATGCATAGGTAGAAAAATGAATGTATAATATGTAATTTTTAGAATAGTACAACTCATATACTTTCGACAGGCACTCAACAATTTTTGTTTAAACATATATGTATATTGCATCATTTGTTCGTTCGTTCATTCGTTCATATATTTATTCATTCATTTATTCACTCACTCATTCATTCATATGAACATCAAGATATGCTTTGTATTTTTCTTTAAAACATTTAAGGTTATTAACATTACGAATATTTAAAGGTATATTGTTCCATATGTTCATGCCATAATAAGAAAATGTGTCTTTAATATAATTTGTTTTAGGTCTTGTCCATAATACAATATCTTTCCGTGACCTAGATCTTAAGTTATATATTTTGTTGTCGGATAAAGTCATCAGTTCTGTCATATACGTCGGTGCCATGTTATTTAAAGTTTTAAAAACAAGCACCGCCGTGTGGTATTTACATCTGTCGGTGCTTGTTGAAATATAGTAGGTGTCATAAGATATAAAACAACCAGATAATTTAAATGTGTCATTTTAAATATCATTCATGATTTATCAATCATAAAATAGCAACGCTTGACACTTAGAAAAAAGTAAAAGTATCCCTAAATTCAATGACTGGTCCATAGGGATACGTTATTAATTCATTTTATGAAAATTGTAATGTTGCTTTTTAAGATGTCAATATTTGTATATTTCATTTCATTTAGCAACGTTAATTTATTTTTGAATTTTTAAGATTCTGAAAAATAATTGTGGTCCTTAATTGTTCAGTAATTGATTTGCTTTTATTTTCAGATTTTAAGGCCTTCTCCTAACATAGATATAATATTAAACTGTTACAAATATAGTCGCCGGTTTCTACCGGCGACTAATAAAAAATGGTTCTTTTTCACTTCAAGCGGTCTTTATTTTTGGTATGTGATAAATAGACTATTAAATTCGTTTAAGTTTAATACTTAATTTATTGAACTCGTTGAATAAAATAACGAGCCAGAGGCTTGCATAATATAATTTAATTAAACTCATTCAATAAATTAAGTATTAAACTTACACTCATTCAATATCCTCTATGTATCATACCTGTTACATGCGTGAGCTTATTATATATTCTACATGAACGGTAAACTGCGGATGGTAAAAAAGTGTGTGCGTTCACATATTTTAGCAATTGCTCCATTTCTTCGTTTAAAACTAATATTTTCTTTTTTCCTCTTTCTGTCTTAAAAACATGAATTATGCACGTGTTCTTGTTTATTTTACATAAACACACATTCAAATAATGCAAGAATGTAAAGGTAACGTGTAAATTCGGTATGTTTTGTAATTGAGGTTGCATATTTTTTTTTTTTTTAATGCGTGTATTTAAGGTCGCCGCCGGAAACCCATATGGGCGACCGTACACTCAAGTCGGGCCATCCTAGAGCGTCCCGCCGAGATTTTTTCGTTGATTTTTTTCCAGCTTTATTGGTGGAGGAAGACCCCAGGTGCCCCTCCGGGCATTATTTCAGGCACGAGCGGGCACCTGGGTAGAACCACCGACCTTCCGTAAGCCAGCTGGATGGCTTCCTCACATGAAAGAATTCGACCCGAGTGAGGATCGAACCTACAGCGGTGAGGGACCTGTGATCTCAAGTCAGCGACCTTAACCACTCGGCCACGGAGGCCCCCGAGGTTGCATACTACTCTTCATTAAATTATATATGTATGTAATTATGCAAATTTGTCAATTTTCAAATATCGAAGAATATGTAAAATATGTATTGCAAATATTTGTACATATTTAAGGTAATCATTAAATTATATGCATTCATTTCCTATTGGAAAAATTGACTTAGAATTTATAGAAAACTAAATTCTAATTACCTCCCTTTATTTACATGAAATATTAAATTCGGTAATATCTTTATAATTAATGTTTTTTGAAACTTACAATACCGATAAATCTTAATTTGAGCATCATAATGTGTATATAAAACCATAAAAATAATGTGTTACAGGATCTTTAACGATTTCCGAAATCAACGAGTTCTTTACTATTCCATTTTGTGTTTGAAATACAAAACATTAGGTGCGCTTACAAATAGTGAATTACAAAACTTCTTTGAAATTCTTATACATATAGTTATCATTTTACCGACTGCAAAATGTGTAGTTTGCATTTGTGGTCACATGATGTTTATTGTTCACCCCTTGATTTATTTTAAAGGGCGTTACATTATTGGAAATATGCGCTGCGATCTGCGGTCCCGTTCTCGAGTTCCCAGTAACTGTATCAATGATACTGACAATTTGAAGGATTTAATGTAGAAGCAAGTCTTAATGCATGTAATTATCAATGCTATAAAACAATTATCAAGCATATCACTTAGAATGTTTATCCTGTAAGTTTTTGTCTATTTTATATAGGGCTTGTATTTAGAGATAACCGGTCCAACCCTGATTGATCTGAAGATTCGAACAGGGGCTGACTATGAGGAAGTGGCTGTAGCTGTCTCCGGTCGGTCAGTCGGGTATTTCATTGGCTCGGCAATAGGTAGATATGGATATTTCTTTTCCATTCTGTTTAACTACCGAAGATAAAGTTATTATTTCTGACCACAAGTATTTTCAGTGGATGAGCAGATCCCAGGATAAACAGATCCGCTTCATGGATATTAAATGACCTTTGTATAGTTATTACAATATTTTTAAAACAACAAAACAAATATTTCTCGACACGCACGTTCAGTGAAGGACGAATCGCGAGGTAAATGTATTTTGACAAAGAATTTAATTAATCAATAGAATAACAACAGAAATCAAAGCACAGAAGGCGCTGAATTTGTTTGGGTCTCAGAATGTCAGAAAGGTGAAGGTTGTGAGATTATAAATCAATTTGTTTTTGTATAGTGCCACCAATGCTTTCCAGTGTTTTAACTGTAGTAAATTGGCTATAAGACTAATTGCAACACTGACAGTCAATTCAATGTTTATTTGACGTAAATTTTTTTTTATAAAAATGAGTTGCCTCAAATGGGATTTGAACTCCAGACCTCTCGATCCATAAGCGAGCGTGCAAACCCCTCGACCACGATGAAGTTATATGTTACCGGCCTGGAGAAAACCATATTATTCTAAATTAGGGTTTGTAACTCTTATTATTTCGACGCTAAACCTGTTGTTTAACACAGATGTAAATAATCATGGAGCTTATACTGTAAGCATGTATAAAGAATGTAACAATATTAGAAATCTTCGACCATTCGGGAACTACTTTGCTTGAAAATTAATGCGCCTGTCATTTGACAATCTTTACGCATTGGTCTCCCCTGAATTTTTCGGCGTTAGTGTACATATAAAGGGAAGTAACCGCTTCAAAAAAGTGGACTACTTTAGGCATTTGCAATTAACAGCATTAGGCTCTGAAATTTCGCTACCATTATTTGTTTGGTCTGACGACCCAAACAAATAAAAACGACGCAAATATTATTATTTCTGAAAACGCTTTATTTACACATTTATATTCTGGCAGAAAAACTTCCATGTTAGAAATAAAGTATTGACATGAGCTGTAAATATCCGGACAAGCATCATAAATCCCCCCCCCCTCCCATGTTCAAGATTTCTTCTTTCACATCGATTTAATATCACCGAAAAACAATCGTTTGGTTTGACTTAAAGCGGTAAAAGCGGTAAAAAATAGATGAGGTAATCACTTAAAAATATATGTGGTATTTTAAACTCAGTCCTCTATTGAGACTGACTGAGCAGCAGGTTGATAAAGTTTTAGTTTCAGTCTGTCGTATATTGTTCCTTTTCGGCTAATTTAACGGTGTTGGTAATATATAAGATGACATCGACAAAAATTGAAAACACCTTCATATTGAACGGAAAACCATGATATCAATATAAGAAACCATGCCGTCAGTTTTGAAACCGAAGTAGCAATTACGAAAGACCGGTGGGGACGCTTCAATTTCTCGAATTCCCGATTTCATCTTCGTGAATTCACAATTTTAATTTCGTGAATTCACGTTTTCAACATCTGGAATTCACGAATTCACGATTTTAACTTCATGAATTTATGATTTCAATTTCACGATCTCAACATCACAAATTCAACTTCACGAATTCACGTTTTGATCATCACGATTCAACTTCACGAAAGTAGAAAGTACGATTGTATAAAGTAGGAATAACGAAACAACGATTTCAAAACCATGATGGTGAAAAGTCAAAAGTGCGATGGTAAAAACATGAAATTATATCGAGTTTAGTAAATTTTCACAATTGGGTTTCGTTATTTCGACGTTTCACCAACGTACTTTCAACTTTTCATCATCGTACCTTCGGCTTTTCACCATCATGGTTTGTTATTCTTACCTTTTACAATCGTTTTTTCGTTGTTTCGAGTTTTGTGTGTTGCGAGGGCCCTAATGGGACACCGTATTGATAAGTATTTTGAAAGCCTTGTTGGGAAAAAAGGAACTTGCATTATATCTTTGATTCTTCTATGTATTGTGTTAATAAGCGGCCTTTGTTAAATAAATAGTTCATCGTCAGTTTGTTTTATTCATTATTTGACTTTTCCAATCAAAAAGTCTAACTTAAGGGAGCAAATTTTATTTAAAACAGCTATGAAAAACGATTTCAAAGAACTCAACAGTATTGCCATGCATAAAATGTAAATACAATAATAATGATAACATCATTTTTTTAAGCATGCACTGTATCGGCAAAATTGCACAGCATGAAAATTTAGGATTAAAAGTCAAAATCATTCACTCGACTGTATGACGGCCGGGTGGCAGTGTTTTTTTGATATCGAGATGTTCCGAATAGTTGCTTCGCATTGCGATTTTTACTTGCCGTCAAACATTTTAATGCCTTAAATATTAATTTATCAATGCAATTGCACATATATACAGATAGCTCTGTGACAAAATTATTTTCATGAATGACATTCATACGCTATGCCAATTTGAGAGCACTACTGCGAATATGTCAATAACATCATACTGTTTAAAATATCAACCGATTTATTTATGATTAAGAAAAAGATTTAAAACAAAACTGATGAAAACTATGGTGGCTGATTTGTGCCATTCGTGTTTTCGCCCCGCGACCCTGCCAAGCGAAAAGTCGAGAATAAACAAGTTAAAATGGCGAAAACTCACTAATTAGCGAGGGCATGGGCGAAGTTTAATAAATAAAACCAGATTTAAGAAATAAATAGGCGGGAGGTCGGAGCGAAAATAGGCTAATTAGCGCTAATTAGCGTGTTTTAATCCCGCGACCCGCCGTTTTATAATTAAAATCCTGCTCCGCGCCCCCGCGGGGCGAAGTTTTATTTATTCAACTTCGCCCCGCGCCCTGGCTATTTAGCGTGATTTCGCTCTGCACCCCGCCATTTAAACTTGTTAATTCTCGACCTTTCGCTTGGTGGGGTCGCGGGGCGAAAACACGCTAATTAGCGGGAGGGGGGGGGCGGCGAAGTTTTATTTATTAAACTTTGCCCCGCGCCCCCACTAATTAGCGTGTTTTCGTCCCGCGACCCCACCGTTTTATTTCTTAAATCTCGCTCCGCGCCCCCGCGGGGCGAAGTTTTATTCATTAAACTTCGCCCCGCGCCCTCGCTAGTTAGCGTGTATTCGCTTCGCGCCCCCGCCATTTAAACTTGTTAATTCTCGACCTCTCGCTTGGTGGGGTCGCGGGGCGAAAACACGCTAATAAGCGGGGGCGCGCGGCGAAGTTTTATTTATTAAACTTTGCCCCGCGCCCCCACTAATTAGCGTGTTTTCGTCACGTGACCCCACCGTTTTATTTCTTAAATCTCGCTCCACGCCCCCGCGGGGCGAAGTTTTATTCATTAAACTTCGCCCGCGCCCTCGCTAGTTAGCGTGTTTTCGCTTCGTTCCCTTGCCATTTTAACTTGTTAATTTTCGACTTTTCGCTTTGCGGGGTCGCGGAGCGAAAACACGAATGGCACAATCAGCCAACATAGATAACTGCAATGCGATTCGTTGCCAACTTCGTTTCTCATATGACGTGTTTAAGTCACATGAATACGTCACATTTTATGTACAGTGAAGTTTTCCTTTTTTCGATGATTGTCTACATTTATTTCTGTCTATGGCAAAAGCAGGGCAATAATCTTTTAGCCTACGTAAGAAAATAATACACCCGGTCAAATTTGATAAGAAAAAAAATGTCTATAAATATGAAAGACCTTATTACACTATGCAAGCGTTGCCTTTTTCATACTTGTCAAACAGTAGTCACGTCAAACAATTTTATTTCTGAGTATAAATTATTGTCTTTTTTGTTAAAATTAAAAGAAAAACGTGGTTCACTATATTTATTTTGTGTTTCATATCTGCTTGAAATTATTCTACTTAAATGTTTTATTCACCAGGGGGAGTTCTTGTGGACCGTTTCCTTAGTTACTGTGATCTAATGATTGGCATTTGTCTAACTGGAGGTGCCATTGCAACCGTGTTTGTCCCCTGGACTCCAGTCGTTGAGGTTCTATGGTTTATAATAGTTCTTCAAGGGACTTTCGAAGGAGTTATTAATATAGGTTTGTTTTCAATTATCCCGTATTTTCATTTACTTCAACCCGTTTAATATACGTATATGTATGACATGCGTTTATTTAATAATGTATAAACCCATTCCAAGTGATGTCAGATAATGATAGACCATATATTTCCTTTTAAAAAGTATCTGTACATAAAATTGTAAAGCACACATGCCAGACAACTCGGGTTTATTGCTCCGAATTAGTTGGCGCACAAATATATTTCCTCTGCATTTGTAGTCAATATTACCATTAATAAAATTTTCCAATGCACTATTGCAGATCATACGTTAGTTTTACATAGGCTGGAATTTTAATTTGGCATGGATGGGGTGGCGTCGCATTCTCTAAAATGACGCATTTTTATAAATGAACGACATTCTTATGATAACAATATTTTACGTTCTGAATGAGGTCATAAAGTTACACATGTATCCTTCTTTAAAAAAAGTAGCAATGGAGAAAAATGACATTAATGTCCATGAAAAATCGACATGTGTTTGCGGTAAGGATCGGAATATTCATCCCTTGAGTAACCGCCCGTAAAGACACTAATCCCCCAATGGTAACCTCGAGACGGATTTTCCGATCCGAACGGCAATATAACTAAGAAAGAAATTATCAACTTGAAGTGATAATAATGGACTGTAATGATATTCATTTTGGTTTGTTTTTAAATGTGTTGTCTTCAATAAAGTTCTTTAAAATTAACGTAGCGTAGTATCGTATGTTAAATCTTATCTCATTATTACTTACAGCTGGACAAAAGCTAATACTTTTATTATGGGAGAAGAAAGCTGCATCTCCCCTGCATATTCTTCACGGCGGATTTGGCATTGGATCGTTCATTATTCCACTTATATCAAACCCATTTTTGGCCGTACCTATGCCTCCAGGGAACGTCACAAGTGTACCAAACTCAACAGTTGATATCTTAACCCTACCAGAACAGAACTCGTACAATCTTACGTCATCAACTTCGATTATTCCTGTAAATAAAAGTTTCAACTTTGAAAATGAGAAAAAAGTGAATAGCATTATGTATATTAAAGAATCTAGAATAGAGTTCCCATATCTGATTTCTGGTTTACTAACATTGGCTTTATCCACCGTGTTTTATGTGTACCAAGCAAAGGGATATAAATTCACAAGAACCGACCAAAATAAGGGATGTAATGGCAACAGAAGTACGACCTTCGTGAAACGCTGCAAGACATTGATTAATCCAGCGACATGTGCAAGAGGCAGGCTTTTGTATGGCATAGAAATATTTGCTGTATTGTTTATCTATTACTTCAATATCTTAGGCGGAGAACGTATTTTAGGAAAATTCATTCGTGCGTATTCAATAGAACAGCTTGGGTTTTCTGTACGTGATGGGAGCTATATAAATACAACATTTTGGATAAGTTTTGCAATAGGACGAATAACTGGTTTTTTTACAGCAAGATATATTCCTATTAGAATTCTGATATTAATTGAAACAGGCGGTGTGTTTGTGTGTTCGGTTTTGTTGTGTATTTTTGCTGGAGACAATGCTACTGCACTATGGGTTTTGGTACAACCACTAGCGTTGTTTCACGCGCCATGTTTCCCATCAGGAATTGGGTGGGGAGATTTTCATGTAGAGATGACAGGTTTGGCAATAACGTTTGTATTATTGGGTGGATCAATTGGTGGGGTGGCATATCTGAAGCTCACTGGTTATTTGTTTGAGACATATGGCGCACATGCCTTCCTGTATCATGTTCTAGGATATGGGATTGCTTGCTTTACCCTAGCAATTCTTCTTGACATTATAGGCTCACAATACGGCAGCAGATTCGAGTCGAAAAAGAAATCAGAAAAACAACTCGATCAAGAATTAGACGATTTCACCGAAACTGTAGAAAACGTACAGGAAAAACAATTACTCCAGGCAAGATCTTGTGCTGACGAGGGAATATGACTGATCAGATTTACTTTTGAAGTGTTATATGATACCATTGTTATACATGACAGGTCATAACCATCTTTTATTTACTCCTCCTAATATAGTATTTTTCGTTGTTCATCAGTTTCAAAATTAAAAGCATAGGCTATAGTTCATCAGGAAATAAATGTTGACAAACAGATGCTTATGGATAGAGATGATCACATTAAATTGATGTCAGGAGTTAAATTTTATCTGAAATTTCGAAGGAGTGTGCACATGTTATATATATAGATATCTGTTATATACGGAATGATACAAGTAGTATGAACTATTAAGAGTGTATTCAGCTCACGGGATGTCAGTACTTATGCCAAAAAGAAGTGAAATTATAAATTTCTTGAATTTCCTTTTATCCACGAAAATAATCTGTGATTATCAAATTCTGGACACAACTTAAAGGTCTATATAAATTTATGTTTTAATTAAACACATGCTATTTACATTTAATAAGCATGATTTATATACTTTACTAAACGACTATGATGTTTCATTACTTAGATCCAGTTTGTAACTTTAAAAATAACTGTAAAATGTTTAACCGCTTCAGGTGTCAGATACTCCAGCATCACAATCAAACAGGTTTTTTTTTTTAAAAATTATTTCATGAAGAGAAGTAAAATATAAATTGAAATTATATGTTAAGGATATGTTATAACTGTTTTATCGCATGATAAACAGAATTGAGAATTTTAATAAGCATAATGTTTATTAAAATTCTCATTCCTGTTTATCATGCGATAAAACAGTTACAATATATCGAACTCGACTATTATGTAGAAATATCATGGCCTGGGCCGGCATCTCGGGTTTTCCTTACAGACAATGTTCTCGGCCAATATTCTGTAAAGAAAAACCTTCGATGTCGCACCAGGTCATGATGTTTCCACATAACATTCTGGTCGCTATAAGCCTATAACTATAACTTGTGCAATCTTAAAGTGATAAATATTTTTATCAATGTAAACATTATTATAGAAACATATTATATGACACGGTAGCTTTACAAAGTTCAATATTTTTAGTTTGGCTTGTCCAAGTTACATATCCTTTATTAGCGAATTGTTTATCGTATGAGTACTATCCGCTCTGCGTTAACATGTTCACGTTCTCGGGCTTTTTGGTATTTCTAATGCTAGCATAAGCTAGTAAGCCCTGTCATTGTGGTGATCAAATACACTTATGTTACTATCAGACAAAGCTACGAAACCTTAATTGTTCCTGTACATTGGCTATTTAATAATTATATGGAAGTGATCCGTAGTTTTGTAGATGGTTTTCGATATCACATATGGATCTCTATAGCACATATGGAGCTCAAATGCAATTTTGAGCAGCGATTCCTCGTTTGTAGCCAAATCTCAATAAATGTTTTAATCAGGATTTTTCTGAATATTAAGCATCGGTCTGTAGAAAGATTTCGTAAAATTTCTGTACTTGAGTCCGTTAAGTGACATTTTTTCCATAGGCATTGCATGTTTTGGACACACCAGAACCCACGACGGAGAGAATATCTCGATGAAGACTGCATAGAAATAAAAAAAAGGTAATATAGAGGTGAGTCAAGAAGGTAGAATCACATTTCGATTTTCTTAAAAAATGGATTGAATTTTATTATGTTATTGGCGTCCGCGCCGAAGCGCGGCGCCTCTTATGGAATGAAATCAGATTTTGTGAAAGGGCGACAGCAACTTCTCGAGCCTTTAAGTCGGTCATAATAAAAGCCGATCATTCCGATCGGTATGAGGGTGCTTGATTATTAATTAAAAATGAAATGTCGCGATATATACAATGAATAGCGAACTGGAGAATTTCGCAATGCAAACATTTTCAAATGAAATAACCTTTTCCGTCAATAAATCGCGCTCTTCGGGGTATTTTTATTTATCATTTTGTAGTACACAATGGGTTATTATGGTACATGTATCCGAAAGCTGAATAGAATGATGAGTTGATGACCTAAATATTCCGAAAATCTATTTATAGAGGGATGTACCTCTATCGTAATTCCCGGTCTCTCCTGGTCTATTTTGACCGGGATTTACTAGTGACCGGCGAATAGTACCACACGTTTATTGTCCGGTCTCTCCGGGTTTTGGATTTGATGTTTGATGTCGATACAGAATAGAACAAATATTTTACAGTTATATAAGTTTTTTTTCAAAATGAATGTTTGTCACTTAGTTTGGTTACAATAATTAATAAACACAGATCAGCTCTCAAATTTATTGATTATTTATACATAAACATACAATTCGAAATAAAAAAACCCAACAACAACAATAGCATGTTTTATTTTATCTATATGAGATAAAAACAATAAATATGTACAATAATTGAGAAAAAAGGTACATTTTTATGGTATTAATATGACACTATCAACTTTGAAACATTTTATTTAATTTGTTATTCGTGTTTAGTAAAGATGCCGAGGAAATATTCAAAGTTACAAATTAGATTTTATGAATTTTTCAATTGATTGATAATTTAAAAAATGATAAAGAAAAATACAAATGTACATGTATATGGTTTAAGTATAAACAATATTATATATTAAAAGATTAACCATAATTTACTGACTTTTTCCAGTTAAGATTTTACTTATAATCGTCGGTCAATATGACAATTGAATTCTTAAAATAGTAGTAAACGTAAAAACTCAGTATTAAAATAGCACATAAAACACAAAAAAGAAAAGAAAACAATATTCATAAAATCTGTATTTTTTTTTTATTAAAATAGATATTACAATTATTGTATAATAAACAATTATGCTCAACATGATCAACATGGTAATGTAACCAGTGTCATATTGTTAGTAAGTGTAAACAGATACCTTTAGAGGGGGTCCTCGCTAATAGCGATAACTTAATAAGGGACAATTACACAAGTGTGGTGTTGATCATGCATTACACATATGGATTATAAATGATTGTATACATGTATATCCGTTGCTATTTATAACCACGATCATAAAGAAATAACAAGTAATATTCTAATCTCTAGCATGCTAATCAAAGTTAATAATGAACAATGTCTTTCGTCCGTTCATTCATAAGGGTAAAAACCAATTAACCATTGAAAAGTTTATAATCATATGTCTACTAGTTCATCTTCACCTGCTGCATTTCTTGCTTGGACGCCCGTTGATGCTTTGCATCAATGCTTTTCTTGTATTTATTTATTGGCGTCCGCGCCGAAGCGCGGCGCCTCTTATGGAATGAAATCAGATTTTGTGAAAGGGCGACAGCAACTTCTCGAGCCTTTAAGTCGGTCATAATAAAAGCCGATCATTCCGATCGGTATGAGGGTGCTTGATTATTAATTAAAAATGAAATGTCGCGATATGTACAATGAATAGCGAACTGGAGAATCTCGCAATGCAAACATTTTCAAATGAAATATTCTTTTCCGTCAATAAATAGCGCTCTTTGGGTTTTCTGTACGAAATCTGCTGTGGTCATAGTATTATTTTTACAATAGCTTTAGCTCTTAGATATGGTTCGCGATTACTGATCATGGTCATGCAACTACATAGTTAGGTAAAGAAGCAGACGTTTGTTTTGGTTGAGTCTATTATGTTTTGTTAAGGGGGTGAGTTGTCATACACAAATTTACAATTTATATGCATTTATTTTTTTCCAATGATTGATATTATCTTAAATGCTTCTGGGATTGTTGTTTTATCAATGCATTTGTAAATAAGATTGTTATATGTCTATTAACGGATTAATTTTAATGAACACGAAATTAGTTCACACCTTTATGTGTATTGATAACGTGATGGTTTAAGCCAATGAAAACACATCAATATTATTACAATCAGGCAAAGAGTAAATGTAGCAAACAAACTTTGAATTGCAAGTATTTGTTCATATATTTTCGGCAGGATAAACTGTCCGAGGAGGGCCATGCATTTTCGTATCGACGTAAAATGGCTGCCATTTACAGTATCAAGTGATTATCCCAAGCACCACCGCGACTTAGCGCGGGAATTATAAATATAGCTAACATCGGCGCGTCGCATAGGATGGAAAATACCTTTCTCGTTTTATTGTAATAATTATTTACAAACTGTGTCTTTCGGAGTTTTTTTTATCAATATATAACCAATGATGATGCTAATATGAATAAATAATCATATCTCAAATCTGTGACTATGACTTACAATGAAATTCTACCTTTAGTGTATTAAAAAGGTTTTCAATTTCCTGTAATTTTATTCTGTGATTATGCTTCAAAGCAGTCAATTGACCGTGAATTTTCTTTTCATATTTTGATTTCCTTGAAATCATTTTTCTCATATGAAGGCATGCAACTTTAATATGATGATACATTAATTACAATCCATGAAAATGATTAAAAATATAAAATATCTCATGACATGTTTGTTCATTTTACATTACACCTTTAATGCAGCAAACATAAAAAAGTCTTCACAAAAAGTAGTATGCAATCGTACCTATATTACATACGAATGTATGTTATATTTTTCTTGTTTATTTATCACTTTGTAGTACACAGTGGGTTATTATGGTATGTTATTGTTGTACACATGTATCCTAGAATGATGGGTTGATGAAAATCTATTTATAGAGGGATGTACTCCTATCGTTAATTCCCGGTCTCTCCTGGTCTATTTTGACCGGGATAATTTAGTGTCACACGTTTATTGTCCGGTCTCTCCCGGTTTTGGAGTAGATGTCTGATATCGTTACAGAACAGAACAAATACTTTACAGATAAATAAGCTTTTTTTCCAAAATGAATGTATGTCACTTAGTTTGGTTACAATAAAAATTAATAAACACAGATCAACTCTCAAATTTATCGGTTATTATTATACATAAACATACAATGGCTGCAAGCTCTGTGGTATTTTCTGATCTTTGCAATCTAAATCGTACTGTATATCTGTATGTATTTTCCTGTATAAGTTTCTTTTTATGTACTATAATTCATCTTGCAAGGCACCAGAGTTTGATACATACGGAATTTTGCATAACTACAGGAGAGTTGCATCAAAAAATCATTTATGTTCATTTTGTATGACAGCCACACTTTATCCTTGCATATCATGGCTACTTCCTTAACAAAGACACTTAAAAAAGAATTTAAAAAAAGTTGCCTCGACTGGGATTTGAACTCCAGACCTCTCACACACTAGACGAGCGAGTTACCACTGCACCACGGAGAAGTTATGTAAACGATGCCTGAATAACATCTAGTCATTCTAAATTTGGAACTTCCATTGCATTCCGGGTTTGTAATCCTTACTAATTTCGAGGTATTTTGTTCAGGACAAACCTGTTGTTTAAAATTGAAGTAAATAATTTAGCGAAATCTTCTCGCCGAAACAGTCCGACTTGTAGAATCTATACTAGTATATTCCACTACTCGGCAGTCAGATTTATTTGTGTAGTATTCGGTAATCGACATCGCTAAAAATAGCATTTTCATTGATTAAAATCAAATTCATCCGCATAATTTGTGATTGTGCATTTATTGACAATTCTATAAGACAACGCTACTTTTATACTTTGAATGCGTTGTAATTTGTTGGATACTTGTAACAAAATAAAAAATATTTCTTTCTTTTGAATCGCTAGTTTTAAGCTGTTTTGAGAACTACTTGTTGTTAGGTTTGTGGTGAAATTCTGTGTCAGTGATTGAATGTCAGCTTTGTATTTACTGACCTTCGGTCAGAAAATACAAAAACCAACAACAACAACAACAATAGCATGTTTCATTTTATCTATATGAGATAAAAACAATAAATATGTACAATAATTGAGAAAAAAAGGTACATTTTTATGGTATTAATATGACACTATCAACTTCGAAACATTTTATTTAATTTGTTATTCGTGTTTAGTAAAGATGCCGAGGAATTATTCAAAGTTACAAATTACATTTTATGAATTATTCAATTGATTGATAATTTAAAAAATTATAAAGAAAAATACAAATGTACATGTACATAGTTTAAGAATAAACAATATTATATATTGAAAGATTAACCATAATTTACTGACTTTTTCCAGTTAAGTTTTGACTTATAATCGTCGGTCAAAAATTTATTTTACAATTTTAATAAAAAAAAAAGAGAAGTAAATGTAAAAACTCAGTATTAAAATAGTACATAAAACACAAAAAAGAAAAGAAAACAATATTCATAAAATCGGTATTTTT